GTATGCAAGTTTGATTGCCCACTTCTTCCATGCATTTTTCTCTCGTTTTTCGTGTTTTTCAGTATGTTTGTGGCATTCCTTATTTTATTGTACCCCGAAAAAAGCAGAAAACCAATTTTTCACTTTCATTTTTATTTGTTTCCCTATTTAAAAACAATGAATGATGACTTTGTGTTAAACATGATCGTTATCAGTAATCAGAATCCCTGTATAACGGAATATGTGTACCTTTTTTCATATTTGCGAAGTTCGGGCACAATTAATCGTAACATAACTCTCAAGTTAATTAGAATTAGTGCATTAAAGTGGCTAGATTACAATTCTTTGGATACCAGCGAAAACCTGAAAATGAATGTTGTGTTTTTCGAAAAATCAGTTGTCGTACATCTACATCATAAATTTTAGGAACTCGGAATGACTTGTAGTGCCGTGCTTCATTAATAATTCACTTCGATAGCCGTTATTATACCAATCTTAACGGTGTATAAAATGAGAAGGCAAAAGGAAGTGGCAACTACATTTTTATTGATCAATGATGCAAACCAGAAAGTTGTGAGCACATGAGCAAGTGTAAGCGAGCGAAGCAGAGATGATGCATAGTGGAGATGGCTGGGAAGCCAGCTCGCTATGAGCAAGCAATACTCAATATTTATAATCAGACAAAAATGAATGACAGACATATGATGAATAGGATACGAAGGGTACACAATGCGCTCATATAAAAATATAGTCAAGGTTAATAAGCGAATAATTAACAAGATCGAAATATGACTCATAATATATAGGTGAATTGGCTTGGCCAGTAGCTAGAATAAAGTATATGGGCTTAACATACAAACTGATACTATAGACTTTCTAACCCTTGACAGTCTTTACTGACAGTCACCTGAAATGACAAAAGCTCTTGGATGATCATAAAGAAGTTACTTATAGTTTTGCTTATAGGACTAGTAATTGATAATTAAAAGACAACTACAATCTGGTCAATCTTGCCAATATAAATACATAAGAATAATTATTTGACGTCATTTAAAGGGACACCACCATGAACCAAAGAACAATAAGGTTTTCATGCTTGTCACTAATATTTGACAACCTTCATTAAGAATGCATAAGACGTGTATTTTAAGGTAAGTGTAACCTCTAAATATTTCAATGAGTTCTATTCCCCGGGTCTCAGTGTGAAACTATAGATTTTCGCCAACAATTGCAAAGCAGAGAATCAGATTAAATACTTCCTCACTTCCGAAAGTGATTCGGATATTCTTGAAAGCGTTCAAAGAATGGGGCCTAAAACGTTGAACGGTCTGTCAACCCCATCTCACAAGAAAAGACTGAGTAGCGCTGACCCGCGTACACAGTCTTACAGTGTACTAACAAGTAATTTAACATAGTCTCGCCATATTCCGAAAAACAAAGTGATGAGTTACCCATTGTATTTATTTCTACAGCCTATGAGATATAATGAAGGGTATATTCACAAGAAGTTCAAGAAAATATCTAGTTGTTAACGCACGAAATTTATTACTTCCACAGAGTTATGAACTACCGAAATGCTCCATCAGAATATGCAAGGGTAGCCGTTGACAAGCTGAAATATTGATTAGGTTGTAGTGGCGTACTTTTCATGACGAGAACGCGATTGGTATAATGGAAACACTTATTATTATAAACAATTGTACCAGTGATTGTTTTACTGTACTTGTTGGTTTAACTGTTCTAAAGATACTTTCCCTTCCGTTTCCTGTGACCTTGCACGAACTAGCTTACGCTCGGCAGTTCCGCCTGGAAACTTTGGCACCTTTCGGTATCTTTTTGACACCACGAGATCGCCAACAAATATATCTTATTGCAACCATCAATAGCCTTCTGATTTTCGGTCTGCCGAGGGATCCAAGTCGATACCTGGCACGTAATCTTTCTGTAGTGGTGATCATAGTCAATCGTGACTCGACGCCATCTACAAGGTCTTCATAGTACCGTAATTAGTTGAGATCAGCCAAAATCTTTTTATCTCGTATCCCTAATACTGGAAACTGTAACTAGCACTAAATTAGGTAAACTTATGTAAGTAGTATGCAACATAAGTCACTCTTCTATTTGTTTAGGGGGTAAGTAACGTACATCTGTGAAATGTTAATGTCTTAAAATTCACGTTTCTTATAACGAGCTTGTTTATTTTGCAACCAGACTAAACGTGAAGCATATCGCGGTTCGTAGAAATGCATTTTGTACTTAAAAAACACAGCGATGAAGGGTTCGAAGTATTTTTCAGTTAATTTTATCCACCATATGACTGAACATAAACAAATGTGATCAAATCTGACAAATAATTTTATAGAACTATGATGATAGTATTTGGAAATAAGACTATCATAAACTTTGCCATGTACTAAACATTTCAGGTGTTAGAAAATGATGGGAGAAAAGACGACAAAAACTGCTCAATGAAAATCAATGAAGGAATTATTTTTAAATGTCTATTTATGAAAAATGTTTGCGTGAATTTATATGATAATTCATTTCACCTTTTCTGCATCACATCCCCCGTCGCTATCCTTTGAATCATACTTGGATGAGAACTATACTGAAATCAAACAAATCTGTAAACGTCTTATAGCTGAAAACCGGTAAAACTAAATATCGTTGATTAAGCTTTAAAAACGAAACGAAAAAGTAAAACAGAGTCGTCAGCTTTTGGCGAAAGCGAAACATCTGACAATCACCAGCCTCCCCATCATCGCCTCCCCATCATCGCCTCCCCAAACACACTGACTCCCCTACTCCTTACTATAGATCAGCTATCAGCTTAGGACCTAAATCAGTTTCCACATTATGGAACAGCAGCACATCAAGTCTCGGTGGCAATGTAAGCGACAGATTAAATGACTTGAATGGTCGTATTTCAAAACTTGAACTAAATGAAAGCACTAATTCAAGTAAAAAACTGTGCAATGGTTACCATACCGATTATTTCCCGGTCAAAAATCTCCAGTCAATAGATCGACGGGAATTTTCGGAAATCAATAACACAAATAGCGGCAAGAATTCTGTACGTTGTTTGGACTCTTCCCTAACTAGTCCTCTTCGTGCAACAGTTAGTCTTCCAGTAAACTCTCATCACCTTGCTATCGTCTTCAATCTTTGTTTGTCTACATAACCAACAACGAAGTAAAGTCCTATGTAAGAGGGGCTTTTTCGAGTTATATTGTAAGGTAGTGTTTTTGCTTCGCTTTGGTAGATTTAAACCCAACTTATAATTTCATGGTATTTCATTTCGGCCCGTAACATAAGGACATTTTTACCTTGTTCATAAAACTAGCTTATTGTTGGCTTCCATATAGTTAGTGGATAAACATGTTGCTATATTGTTAGTTAATTTGAAAGTACTGAGATATTTCTGTAAGTTTCTCCAACATATACCTGCAAATCTTGTCTCAAGGTTTTTCAGGTTAAATTCACTGATTTAAGTGACGAGCCTCCTGGTTGGAAATCGATTCCCTAAGAGTTAGACTACTGGAGAGTTATCTTTAAAAGAATGCCTGTATGATAGGGGGAAAATGGACAACCTCAACAAATACCGCTTAATGTCTAAAATTTTAGTGGCCATTTTTACGGAGGCTTCGGCTCCATCGATGATGTTCAAGCAAACGGTCTTTACAAGACTACTATGGTTTGGTACTTTCAATATCCATCCATGACTTAGCCTCTCAAGAAACTTAATCAAACGATGCCTAAATATCGATCAATACCACTGCGTTCGTATTCCAAAAAGTGTTCCCATGTTTTAGAACCTACCAAAAGTCCAGCATTCATATACCTCTACATCCAGGTGTAAAATCATTCTGAACCCTCGAGGTTACAAACCTTGCTTGAGAGTTGGATTACTATTGTATCTAATATTTTAAGCGCTGTATTAATCATGTCGGATTTTCTGTCGTTGTCACTAAATAATTTTCGTCCCTTTTAAACTATTGTGGTCAATAATTGTAACCACTCAGGTAGGATTATGTCAAGTGTCTAGACTCGAGCTAATGTCTCGTTCAATCCAACTGTCAAACTGGAATCATCAATCTTAAAAATCACTAGAGTCGGTACGTTAGATCCTAGTTCTCTCCCTTGATACAGAAGAATTATGGTTTCTTGAAATCCATATAGTTTGGAGGGCTTGTAACATCCCGTCCTGGTAGTTTGGTAACAGTATGCAAATGAAAGATACTTGGAAACCAGTTAAACTGTTATTAAAGGTGTTGTGTGTCTCTTGAGTTTCCTGGGCTGTGTTTTAATATTGTTTTAAAATATTTTTTACTAAAACCCGAACACTTGTTTCTTCGATGATTCTAGTAAGTTGTCCATTGTTACCTGTCCTATATCTCCTGCTTTCGCTACCTACAACTGCTCACGGCCATTAGGTCGACTTTCAACCTAATAGGCAGCACTGTCGTTTTTACAGCTATCTGGATATCATACTAACGTACATCGGGGTGAACATTTCTTGGACGACTGATCAACTGCTTTTCTAGATACTTTCTTGTCGTTAAGCTGGTGCTTTGATTTTTCTGTACCCAGTATGATGTGGACAAAAACGTGCATACTTTAAAAAGTGATTAGTTTAAAATGTGCCGCAAAATGGGTGGTACTTCTTTCTAGCCTCTCTAGTAATCGTTGGTGACGGTATGATCTATTTGGGTTCATCGTTGGGTTGGTTTTTTGTGTCAGTATGTTCGACGATATTGCTCTTTATCCATAAAATTGGCGCTTGCCAAAAATAAAGGGATGATTTTGACCCCTTATGTATTGAGACAATCAGTGATTGTGACCAGTCAAATGGAATTACGTCCATCTCCTAGATTCTAGCTAAAATATTAGTCAAACTAACCGCTTAAATTGGACCACCATATTTAAAGACATCTGGACCAGCTGCTCTTCCTCATTTCAGATTAGCTATAGCTTTTTGAACTTCAATTAAAGTCGGGGGACCTACGTCAATGTTGGCCTGTGATAAATATGATGGTGTCCCAAACATTTGGTGGAGGGTGAAGATATGATCAATACATCCTCGACCAGAACAAAGACTAGCCAGCTCCTCTCGAGTCAATCTTTCTTGTGTTTTGAACAATCTTCGAAGTATGCCCGACCGTTGCTGCTACCTTGACGTGGTGGTCGGGCTTGCCTATCGTGATGATCCAATCGAGCTATGCTGGCTGGAACAATCGTTCCTCAAGGTCCTACCATGCCAGACAGGTCGGTTGAAGAGCGGTGAGACTAAAAGCATCAATCCCAAGGTCCGAAGGCGAAGTCGTACTGCTGACTGTACAGAGGTGTGAAAGCAGTAAGGTGTTTCCTTCAGACAACCAGCATGACCGATGCTGCCTTCCCACAAGGAGGGGTGGGGTTAGAAAAGGTCGACCCTAAAAATGCACACCTCGCCTTATCCCACGGATTTCCGTCTCCGGCGGTAAGGACTTTTGAAGAACGGAGCTAACACGTCAAAAATCCTCCACAAAAAGGCCGTGCGTGACCGGCCTCAAGCAGATGTCCCTTGGGCACTGCGGTCACGCTCCCAGGTCGTTAAGACCAACACTAATCCAACTTCTTTTTCAGGTCCCTCAAGAAATACCCTTCCACGGTGTGGGCAACCGGGAAGTGATACTAGCCCTCATACCCTTAACTGCACACAATATCAAGTTGGTCGCTTTCAAATCCTTCCTACACCTAATAACTCTGTTATCTCCTCGGCTAACCCTTCCCACGTCCTTTTATCACCTCGCACCGCTAGGGCAAACGATTCGAGTACACAGAACGTTATTCCTGGTCTCCTGAAACCACGCTCTAAACTACATATAGGAACTTTTAATGTCCGAACATTGTGCCAAATAGGACAACAGGCTTCCTTAGCTAGGACTCTAGAATCTTACACCATCGATGTGTGCTGCGTCTCCGAAACGCGCATACAAGATCCGAGTAGTGTCATTCATTTGACCTCACCTAATCAAAATAAAGTTTCATCTCGATACACGCTCCGTGTATCTGGAAGCCCTGACGCTGCTTCCCGTGGCCTCGCTGGAGTAGGTAAAGCATTAAGTCCTAGGGCAGAACTAGCTCTTTTAGACTGGATCCCAGTAGACAGTCGTCTATGCGCTGTCCGACTAAACGGATCAGTAAGGACCCGGAAAGATAGGGAAACTCGTCGTTGCCTCTTCGTCGTCTCTGCCTACTCTCCCACTGATTGCAGCTCAGACGATATAAAAGATGAGTTCTACAGGAAACTTTCTGACCTTCTCCGAGAAGCTAGGCGTTCTGATGTAGTAATAGTAGCAGATGACTTTAATGCTCAAGTAGGTAAACTAAGTGAAAGGGAAAGACACCTGGGTGGATCTTATGGTGTCATGGCGAAAAGAACAGATAATGGCGACCGTCTGTTGCAGCTGTGCTCAGATAACCGCCTATTTCTTGCAAATACTAACTTTAAGCATAAGGAAAAACATCTTTTGACATGGCGACCCGCGAATTCGTCTCAACGTTGGACCCAACTAGATCACATCGCTATCAGCCACCGATGGAGGGGCTCGATAGAAGACTGTCGCTCATTCTGGGGCTCATGCTTAGATTCAGATCATGCTCTAGTGCGAGCACGTATCTGTCTGCGTCTTACTGGTCGTAGGAAAGACACTGCAGGGAAGCCTCTAAGGGTTCTACTTAATGATAGGCAAGCTAAGAATATATTTCAGGAACAACTAGAAAAACAGTTAGGCAGCCATGTAAGTTGTGTCCACCCCGAGGCAGCGTGGAATGACATCCGAAAAGCTGTGGAAGCAGCAGTGATATCCGCTAATAAGGTAAACCATAACGTTAGGGAGAAACAATGGATCTCGGCAGCATCTACCGCACTGATAAATGCTCGTAAACTCATCCCACCTGGCTCTGTGCATAACGAAGAGCGGAGTCAACTTAAGCGCAGGCTTATAAGAAGTCTACGTAATGATCGTGAACAGTGGTGGGTAGCGAAAGCAAGAGAGATGGAAACGGCAGCGGCAATAGGTAACAGTAGGCAGCTATTCAGACTCGTTAAAGAAACCGGTATTAGGAACCCGAATATCAGTGAAACCATCTCAGATAAAGATGGCCATATTATTCATTCTCAATCCAGGAGGTTGGATCGATGGGCAGAACACTTTAGGGATCAGTTCAACTGGCCTTCAGCCACACTTCAATTACCCACGATCCCCAGTCGTCCTGAATGGCAAATTGATGTAAGTCCTCCAACCCTCTGTGAGGTTGAAAAAGCTATAGGAAATCTGAAGCGAGGGAGAGCAGCAGGCCCTGACAGGTTGACCCCTGAGATTTTTAAGGATGGTGGTCCAGTACTAGCAGTGAGATTGACTGAGGTCTTAGGTAGAATCTGGGAACTGGACGTAATTCCATCTGACTGGTTCCAATCACTGATTGTGCCAGTCTATAAGAAAGGACAAAAGTCCTCCTGTGACAATCACAGAGGAATCAGTTTGACTAATATAGTGTCTAAAATATTAGCTTCAATAATACTTGGACGCCTAACCAAAGCTCGTGAAGAGCAGACTAGAGAAAACCAGGCTGGTTTTCGACCTGGACGTGGTGGCATAGACCAGATATTCACCCTACGTCAGGTTCTAGAACATAGACACATTCAGACGTCCCACAATAGTAGTATTTCTTGACCTTAAGGCGGCATTTGACTCCGTTGATCGTGAGGTTCTATGGCAATGTTTGTCACTGAAAGGAGTATCAAAGAAGTACATTAACCTCATAAAGGCTCTCTACTCGAGCACAACTGGTCGAGTTAGAGCCTATGGCGAACTGTCATCAGAACTGATTACCACAAGTGGCGTTCGTCAGGGCTGTCCACTCTCCCCATTCTTGTTTAACTTTGTCATTGACATACTTTTAGAGATAGCACTTTCATCAGCTAAACCTCCAGGAGTTGAACTTTTACCAGGAGGCTCACTTGTTGACTTAGAATACGCCGACGACATAGTTTTACTCGGTGAAGACGCTGACAACATGCAGAGTCTTCTGACCACTATAAGCAACTATGCAGGCATGTTCGGAATGCGATTCTCTCCCTTGAAGTGCAAAATGTTACTTCAGGATTGGGTTGCATCGACACCTGAACTAATGATAGGGAGTGAAGTAGTTGAGCGTGTAGACCACTTCACTTATCTTGGGAGTCTCATCA